CCTTTGGGGAAGACAAGATACACCGCTTTGGTTTGTTTTAGAAGGTATAAGGTCGTTCTCAGGATTTCAATCTTGTCTTGTGCCTAACAACTAGAACCATAAAGTTATTCGTTTGGCAATGATTAATATACTATGCAGAGTACTTACCAAAAGCGTGAACACCAGGTGAAGCAATCAATATGAAGGAGAGAACCGAAACGCGTTAGGCGCTTAAATATGATAGCAAACATAAGACTACCGAAAAAAAAAAGCCTATAAACTCTCAACGGACCTAAATCTACTTGAAGAGAGCGTTTGAACTATTCAGCAAAATAAGTAGCTAACGTAGGATGGCAGAAAAGGCAATATTTGCTTAAAGCGCTTGTAACCAGCTTCGCTTACTAAGTACTACAGACTATTACTTCTCAACGGACCTAAGTCGACTTGGAGAGAGTTTTCAAAGTATAACCGTTCGTCAGGGCATCCTTCAGCCCATACAAGTCCTACCAGATTACGCATTCCCCGATGGCAACAGCAATTTAATCAATAAGAGTAGGGGAGATCCCGAATGAAGAAGAATTCAGAATGAGTAATTGTTATAATGAAAGAAAGTTCGAGAGAAAAATTAAGTCAACAAATACCCCAGTTATTATCTAGCTCTAGAAAAACCCAGTCACACCTGAAAACCATTTTGGCTCAATTTCCTCAAATTTGGTCCATATAGACGGGCTTCCGAATTCAAAATCTAATTATGCCACTTTGTTTGTTTCAACATATTCTTTTTATATTATGAATCCAATTTAAATGTTCTCTACTAAATAGTCTATATTTATTATTCGATTTGGAGGAATGACCAGATTGTCCATGACGAGCGTCATTGCACAATGAAAAAAACATTAACTTCCTTATATGACGCGGACAACCGTAGTAAAATTTCGAGGTCAGGAAGTGTTCTATTTTTAGTGTATGTCCGTCTAATAGTATGCTGGGAAGCCGATCTCTCCAAATTCTTTAAGCGACGTGCATTGTTGACTAGCTCAAGGAATCTCAAAGTATGTAGTATCAGAAACAGTAACTCACGATTTCCCGGCGAATACGGTATGATCCTTGATACATCGAGGATCGACACCCACAATATTAAAAGGTGGCCTCATAGTATATTTAATATAAAATTGTAAATTCTGATGAATGTAACGGCACTTTGTCTTTTTATGACCCATAGCATTATTCAAATTAACACAAGTTGTTTTATTTAGTAACTTAGCGGAAAAGAAGATGCTCATTTAGATGACGCGGGTAACAAGTATGACGCCTAGCGAAAGTAGACTTATCACAGGGGAGTTTAGATGTGTTACAGGAAAAGGAAAGAGGCTTCAGCCAGGTCCTCCGCGTTTGCTTTATAGAAAGGATATCAACAAACACTCTATTGAAATATAAGGGCATTTCTCAACATTGCTTTTATAAATCACCAAGAACCTTTGCATAGGCTGAAATTGTTCAGATTTTGTTGCCCACATATTTTAAAATGGTATGAAGTTGAACAGAAGCCCCTTAATTTCAGGATCGTGGCATAGCAAGAACAGAAAAGAATGATTATTTAGGTGCCAATAGAGAAACAGAAATTAAATATGTATTAGTATTAATATATATATTAACAGGAATCAAAATTAAAAAGGTTTATTCAATACACTAGGAAAAGTCGATAAAATCAATACAGATATGAGACCAAATAAATATGCTGTTATTTATATTAATTGACAGGTCGGGTGAAAAATCGGATCGGGCATCAGCTTTACACAGATAATTTATTGGTTATATTGAGTTTGGGACATCTTTGGAGTAGCAGGTATAGATACAGAGGATAACTATGGGCTGATACTATTAAAGTTATACAAGGGAGTCTCAGGGCAAGTACAAAGAAAGCGGATCTTAAATGTGTTTTACAAGTACAAGGGATACCGGAGATACATTATTCGGAACAGAGACACTAGACGGGATACAGTAGTGGTGTTTGACTGTGACATGTGAAACAGAAGACTTAAAACAGGGCCTAGATCGGACAAGGTCAATGACCTAGCTTGGTTTCAATAATAATCTGAGTTATTTTACTTGATTATATACAACTGGAACCTAGGCGGTTCACGTCAGTTAACTGTATTCTCCCTCATGTTGTTACCGATAAAATAGTTGGTACACCTTCTCGTCAGTTTAATCGGTAACTGGAAAAAACTACGTACAACAATTAGCTAGTTCTTCTTCAACTCAGCGTTACCAATGTGTTTCTTTCGCCAATTTTGATAAGAATATTATGTTGAGTAAATTAAAATAGTTTGATTCAAACATGGTTTGGAAGTGCAATTACGAAAGTGTGTGAAAACTCATTCTTTTTGCTACTCGATTGTTAATGCATAAATCCAAGTATTACACCGATTTAACTATTTGCTGCATACAGCTCGCGGAATAATTGTTTGGAACTCGAGACATAAAACGAATACTGATATTTAGAGTAGAAGAGCAACCAACAGTGGTATGAAACATTATAGTAGCAAGAGATACTTTTAGTTATATCCTTTTCGGTACCATTATCCAAGAAATTCAGCATTTCTGGTATCTGGTAAACCATGTGTATATGATTAGCAGGTTAGGAATATGAGCAATTTTGAAAGAAAATAAAAATTCAACTAGTGAATGAATTGAGAGTTTTATTACCAGGGCTATTTCAGAAGTAGGTGTGAAGACTAATATGGATAGCTTCCTAGTCTTGTGTAAAATAGATTATGTTCCTAGATATAGGTGCAATTCCAGAAGGTCATTAGCGATTTCATGCAAAATGTTTAGGGTATCTGTCGATTTAAAACACATCCTTCCAGTGGTTTTTGATAATACAAAAAAAGGTATCCCTAGTGTTACTATTTTAAATATGTTCTTGAATTGTATTTTATAAACTTTTATGCCGCTTATTGGTTTAACAATAATAGTTTAAAATATATAAAACATTGTGGCGGTCCTTTTCTATATTTGGAAAAGGATTTACACAATTCTTGTTAAACCGAGATATTGGATCATTGTATTGCTCCCAAATCTGCATATTCTATTTACATTGTTGTCAAAGGCTATAATATTATAGTCGAACTCATACTAGATTACCGTAGACAAGCAAACAATGGAAGTTGACGATAAATTATCTGTAGGGTCCTGCAAAACCATAATTCCACTTATATAATCAGAGCTTATTGACAGTATAAGTTCACACATTTTTCAACTAAAAGAATTTGACCAATTCTGGAGTCGTAGACCATGAACAGAATTTGTTAACATCTCTAGTAACTTAGGCCTTGCGTAACGTGATAGATCATGTGCATCGTCTTATATCCTGTGAGGTTTTTGATTTCAATTATTTTTTGTCTACATATTTATGCAATTTATAGCAGCCATAAATCATGTGTAAACCTGCCTTGTCCGTTTTTTTTTCACACTTGCCCTGAAACAAATCACCTAAACATTTACCACCAAAATAGTCATACGCTAGAGTTGAATGAATTCTTCGTGGTCTGGTGTAAACCAACAAAAACAAATCGATCCGCATCCTGCCAGATTGTATTTGTTTGGAATTTATCATGTACAAATTATCAAACTGAAAATTATATATCCAACAGTTGTTCTTTTGTCTTGTCAATTTACTAAATCTAATTGTCTTTCATAAGCACGCACGCTCTTTTGAAAATAGGTTTTATCTAACTCTTGGCTTGCACGCTCTCATTCTTAATTATGGAATAAAAACTCATCCACTATTAAGGAAAGCATTTAAATTCCGCTTCATGCATAGGCTCTAAACCAAAAGAGTTGTTTATATTTTCAATGCATTACAAAAACATCAACTCAAAATCACTAGTTTTCAATTTTGAACACGTCAAATCGTATATTGTTTTCTTTATATTACACTAATTCTTTTTTCTTAAGAAATTAACTTGAGGCGTTGCCATGTAACTCCATTTAAAGCATTGCCATATGGATTCTGTAACTACGGTCTCTTGAATATTACCCATGTAGTGAATATTACCGAAATGTATGATTTTCCGTCTTAGTACTTCTTAAATTTTTTATTAAACCGAGGTTTTTTCAAACCAAAGCTCCGTTTGGGTATAAATTGTGACCTTGGCGGCGCTACCCTAAATGTCTGCACTCCACTTTTGTCTGGTACGCTGCTCTCTGAAAAACCTTCGAGCTGCCGCAAGCCTGTTAAAATTGAATAACAAATAAATATTTATTAAAATGAAAGAGTTATGTGGATGTGGTAGAATAAAGTATATTAATTTGAAAATATTTCAGTGTAAACAATATTAGATGTGAATGATCCTTCTTCACCTTCAATGTTTGATATTTCTTTACGAGTTGAAATTCTGATGTCATTGTGTTTTTGTACTAGGGATAATACTACATAAAGTTTTTATGCAAGAACACAGGTGGTGGAAGATATAGAACAACAGAATCTAATAACTTGCCTTGTGATTTGTTGATTGTCACTGTAAATGCGGGTCGAATCGGGAATTGACAGATATAAAAATCAACACTAACTTGTTCCTCAGTGGAGTACAAAGTAATGCGTGGAATAAGACCAATGTTACCTTCGTATGATGCAATAGTGTCCTTTGCTTAAATTACATGCTGAAGAAGAGCTTTGCAGATAAATCGAGTACCGTTACACACGCTTTGTGCAGCTGCCAGTTTCAAAAGCATCATAATTGGGGAGCCTAGTTTTAATTTTAACTCAGGAGGCGGAAGACTACCACATTGTTAAAAGTTCTTACGCTCTGGTAGCAATATCAAAGCATCGATACCCGAAAGAGCTGTATTAGTAGTACGCAAAATGGTTTACTCTGCAGGAAATGTTTCCAAAACATGATTTTTGACGCCCGATCCAAACGCATTAGTTGGAGTGGGTATGGCTTTAAGCTTCAAAGATGCAGATCAAACATCACTGTCGTTTTCAAAGTTTTTATAGATATCGCAGCAGAGGTGATCCATGCCGCTTTCTGGAAGAATCATTTGGTCGGGTATCTTAATAATATAACTTGTGTTTGGGCGAACAGGGTATAAACCGTTTCCAATATTCCAAAGAAAAGAAGGAAATTCCGGAAGCCCTAGAGCTGATTCTGATTTGTGCGCCAATTGAGCTTGTTGTACTCGCATAATCAATGAAAGTCGCAATTGCTTAATGTGTCTCTAAAGATGAGATGTAATCATGCAGGTGTCATGATCGTGTCACGTAGATGCATTAATTTTTGGTAATTCTTTTGTCAGCACCTTCTTATGTACGTGTCAGCCATCAATCATCAAATATCTGTCATATATAAGTAAGGACTTACTAAACTTTGTTGTTGCTTATTTTCATGCTAAATGACTATACCATCCTTTACTAAAAGTATAGCCTAACTTTCCCTCATATTTCTTCCCCTTCATCAGATATATTATGTAATAACCCTCTCTCCTCTTTTCCTCTTTCTTTTTCCCTCTCTCTCTCTTTTAATAAATATAGTAAATGTCATTTATTTTTTTGTTCTTGGATGCAAATTCTCTTCTGTCTGTCCTGTGCTCATGTCCGCTCGTGACAGCAGGCTTGGATAATGTTCTCTTTGCTACGTTTGAGACCGACAGGTAAAATTTGAAAAGAGTCACTGCTAAAAACTATTAGTTTCGCTCTGAAGGATAATGTACCAAGAAGTGAGTCCAGATCATTCATAATGTCTCTGTAACGAATATCAGCAGTTTCCAAAACATTACGACTGATCATTGGAGCATCGCCCTAAACTATTAGTGTTGATGATGCTATCAATGCCGCATTATTTCCTTATGGCTTCAAAAAAACACATTGACGCCTGATAAAAATGTAGGGGAATACCAAACCTTGAATGAGATCTGCGGCTAATTTTTTTTAAAAAAAGAAGCAGTTCAACTTACAGTCCCGGATTGATCAATAGTGTTCCTTCTTCTAACTGCCTGCAGCAATGCATTGAAAATGAATGTTTTGTCTGTAACACCTGGATCATCCAAAAAAACAAATTGTATTTCAAGGGGAAACGGGAATTTTGAAAAACGTTTTCACTCTCCACCAAATTCAAAACAGTTAACAACACTGCATGCTGATAACTGATGAAAGGATGCTCCGCCAGATCAATCATTGAGCGTTCAGCGTCCAAGCATAACTCCCGTTGTTCACGCTGAAGCCTCCTCTTACTTTTAAATATTTGTCCGGTATTATTGCGTCTATTATCGATCGGTAAACAAAAGCCTCCAAAATTAATGATCATGATTTTATTCAAATCAAGCATTTTATTTAAATCCATAAAGAAGTTACCATATGCTTTTTCTTTCATTGCAACCGTTAACTCAGAGATAACATCGGTCAAAAGCTTTCTTTGAGCATATAAATAGTCCTAAAAAGGTTGCCTTGTGTGTGATCCATAACTGGAAGGGGTAATACGGCTCTCGGAGAATCAAGATTGTGACAAACAATCGTCGCTACATTGCAGGTAATTGCAATGTGTCACTCTCCTACAACCATGTATCTCATTGGTCGTCATCCGCAAGTAAATGTTTTGCACGGGAAGCAGCTTGATAAGTTTTGTATACTACACCATCTACAGTTCTTATCTCTTAAAACTGTTCGGCGGTTCGATATTGCCCAATAAAAGCCGCAAATAATAGTTTTCGGCCTCTTTTGGTGAAACAGGGTAGATACGGCCTGTGGTTTGACGAAAACCTATTTGTCTTTTTCTCACTTTTTTCCAAGTATACTGCTCCAGAGACTAATGATATAAATAATGATAGGTATCTGGATCGCTACGGCTTATGCTAAACCAAGCTGTCAAAATAGTGTCTTTACTGGCTGCATTTGCACGAACATCACTAAGATTAGCATTCTCCAAAAAACACACCATTTGTCGCCCAGGATGATGAATGCTTAATCGCGTATGCGCTGAAAATTCTTTATGCAATGAGAGCCCAAATATTCTCCAAATCCCTTCGGGTGGAAAAACATATCTCGCGTCTGTGAACCTATCGATTTTGTCCTGACATATCATATTATTTTGCTGTCCATTACTACTTACTTGAACACTTGCTCTATCGGACCTTTATAAACATACTTATAAAGATACTTTACAGTAGAAACGATGTTGTATATTTGGAAATTTATATGGGCATCGTATTTCGTACAGAAATAAATGTTGTGAGGTACAAACCATATATTATCCAATGCCATTTTATTTTCTTTTCCAACGCTTATAACATCTCGTATTCTTCTTTAAATAACATAGCCGGAATTTGCTGTTGTTGTAGTAAGAGTACAATTTTTGTGGTAGCCCTTTAGCACTTTCCATCTTTCATGCAAATGGATCTGGGATTTAATGCACCACATCGACCGTGCATCATGTTGTTTGTGACCGTATGATACGCTAAGGGATGTTGCTCATCATTTGAAATCTCAGCGTAATTAATATTTTCAAAATCATTGGTCGAGCTAGGTCTGTTTTCAGGTCTCACAATAAACAAACTGTAAGCATGAGATAAACCTCTTTTCTGAAACTAGATCACACAAACATATTCAACGACTACACCAAGAATATAATCTTTGCTGATATTCTTAAGAAGACTTTTATACGTTAATCGAAAAAATCTTGCGCAAAGATCAGGTCTGTCTGTAGCAGTTTGACTATACAACAACTCGCTTGGGATTGCATGCCATGTAAGATTACAGGTAAAAGAAATAAAAAATCATGCTTTCCAAAACGTCTAATAATACTAGTGGCATCTTGATACAACTGGGACATATGTTGCGGCCCACCAATGAAGGAGCTTCGAAGAATAAGTTTTCGACCATTAGAGCTCGTATCATTGACATCACGTGCAACAGCATCTTTTAAAACAAGGTAAAGTTCGGTTCGAAGACTTGACAGGTTATTTCTTATAACGTTTAAACGAAACTGGCCAATCTTAGCGTACATATCCATATTACACTGATGGAATCGTTTTCCATAAAGACGGAGATCATGCCCCCAGTTTCTAAACCGGAGATGGAAACTATAAAATTACATTGCAGTGACTTTTAAACCATTATCAGATACACATTCTTTATGTCATCCCGATTGGTCTGTTGGGAATATCAAAGCGTAAGACATTGGATCATATGTCTGATGTAACGCGTTGATACTCTTACGTTGACCCTGATTTTGGGGTCTCATAATAATATCCCTAACCCTAATCTAATCCCCTTCCGGTCTATTGTCACAGCCCAAAATTAATATCCCAACTTCAATCGAACTCGTTGGTGAATTATGTCTTCGTGGATCTGGGAATTCTATTGCCTGGAATACCAGTGCCACATCTGCAACGTAATCCGAATTCTCAATCAAATATTGGTTTATCGTCTTAAAGTGTCTGACTATAGGATTGATATCATGCATTAAAATTTTTAAGTGTCCTAACGTGTTGATGTCGACATGGCTTGCAACATGGTGTCAATTTTCAATCCCATGTTAAGCATCAAAGACATAAATTTGAGCAAATGATGATGCAACATTGTTGGATGGGGGCAACAATCCAATTCGGTCATAAATACTGCCATGAATTTGAGAAGCATACCCCCAGCCGCGAGAGTTCTGAACAGATTCGTCCCTATTGATACCCATGGAAGTAAATCTTAAGGCATTGTGGTTAGACCGCATGTGTTTTTTAAACTCCCAGTTTCTTTGATCATTTTCGAGTAATAAGTTGGATATAAGTCCAGGTTTAGGGTGAAATGGTGTCTCTTTTTATTTCCCAATCCACTACAGAGTTGAAGGCTGCCAGTATGAAGACGGCTTTCTGACCTTTCTTCGACCCACATGAATGCCCTGCATTCAGAACACATCGTCGTCATTCTTCCAAACCATGTCTACTGTGCAGTATTTCCGTTTGCTTTGCTTGATTTATAGTCTGGTGGGCACGATTACCATTCTGGCAGCACAAAAGGCTAGTTTTTCTTAAATGCCCAAGTTGTTGACATGTTGAACAGCGGACAATTCTTTCTTGGACTGGCTCATGGGTTGAAATGAACTCGTGTTCGTCTACCTCCATGTCCTATTTGAAATCAATCTTAGTTAAAATGCTTACAAAAATTTTTGTTTTTGCTGTACCACAGGAATTGAGGTTGGGTTATTTAGTGCATTGTCATGGTTATTCAATGAAGATGTCACCTAAAAAAATGTCAGTACTTTCAAATAAAAAAAAAAAAAAAAAAAAAAAAAAAAAAAAGAAGAGATGACTACATTCGTATTTAGGTTTACTGTATTTAAAGCAACATCTAGGTGGGATCTAGAACTATGACCTTTTTGACCACAGGACGCACAATTTGTACTATTATTTGACAAGTTTTAGAAAAATATAAAGGAGAACGTTAATACTATGAGCCGTATTCTTGGGTGGAAGGGTTCACCCCGCACCCCTAATTTTTTTATCACTCCTTAAAAATTGCGCTGTTTGAAAAAAACAAGCATACTGTTTTTCAGGTTATTAGCGCTTTCAAGCTTAATACTATCAGCCGTATTCTTGGGGGAGCGGGGGACCCGTCTATATGGGACGAAAACTTGAGGAAAATTGAGCCAAAATGGTTTTCAGCTGTGACTGGGTTTTTCTAGAGCTAGATAAGAACTGGGGTATTTGTTGACTTAATTTTTCTCTCGAACATTCTTTCATTATAACAATTACTCATTCTGAATTCTTCTTCATTCTTCGGGATCTCTCCTACGCTTATTGATTAAATTGTTGTTGCCATCGGGGAATGCGTAATCTGGTAAAACTTGTATGGGCTGAAGGATGCCCTGACGAACGGTTATACTTTAAAACTCTCTCCAAGTCGACTTAGGTCCGTTGAGAATTAATAGTCTGTAGTACTTAGTAATGCGAAGCTGGTTACAAGCACTTTAGGCAAATAATGCCTTTTCTGCCATCCTACGTATTAGCTACTTAGTTTGCTGAATAGTTCAAACGCTCTCTTCAAGTAGATTTAGGTCCGTTGAGAGTTTATAGGCTTTTTTTTTCGGTAGTCTTATGTTTGCTATCAGTATTTTAAGCGCCTAACGCGTTTCGGTTCTCTCCTTTATACTGATTGCTTCACCAGGTGTTCCCGCTTTTGGTAAGTACTCTGCATAATATATTAATCATGGCAAAACGAATAACGTTTTGGTTGTAATTGTTAGGTACAAGACAAGATTGAAATCCTGAGAACGACCTTATACCCTGTAAAAGAAACCAAAGCGGTATATCTTGTCTTCCCCAAAACGTCTTGTAGTTGCTGGGAACAAACATTACATAGGTAAATACCTCTCTCTTTAAAAAACGTATACAACATTGAACTAAATTATATGTCAGTATCCCATATCAGCTTCAAAGCATCTTGTCAAAGGCATCGTTCACGTTAATTTTGGTCTGGCGTTTCGCTCTCTCAAATTATTTACCTTCTCAATGTCTATTAAATTTCGCCAATCTTGGATTATCAACTCCTGATTACTTAATCTTACCAATAAAACAAACCGTCTCGTCCAATTATATAGCTTAAACCTATATTAGTTCTTCCCATGCAAATTAACGCGTATAAATAGAGTACACGTTTTTATGACAAAAACATTATTCCTTCCCCAAGACAAAATTACCACCTTTCTTTATTCTTAATAAAGACTTTTATTTCAAACAATTCTTGAAATGTCGCTTATCGTTCTGCTTTATAGTGTCTGCATAGTTGTTCATGTATCCATTTTTAATACAATAGGCGAGACGTAAAATAGTCTTGTGGTCATGAACTCCGATGGTTGCGGTTTGAAAACTATCATGCAAGGTGCTTCATATTGTTATTAAAACGAAGCCAGCCCATTGTTTTTGTAACACATGTTTCGTGTTCTCTTTCTTTTGTCGCACATGTAAATGTTGAACATGGCTATTGTATCCTGTCGAACGTCTCTGCTCTAAATAGTGTATTTCCGTTATGCCTTCTACTTGTGAAATACATTTAACATCCATTGTCTTTGTATTCTTGTCCTTACTGTCCGTTGTATAACATAAGTTATACCAGCTCATGTCATCATCTCTATCTATGCTCGATGTCAGAAATATGTCTTAAACTCAATATGGCTAAGACTCTGTCTTTGTAAATTTGATCTCGGAACCATCGTCTACTAGTCCTTTTAACTGTTATAACTAAAGGCATGTTTATTTATGTCAACTTCTATGATTAAGATTTTATACTTTTTCATTTCTTCTTGAGTAGATCCTTTTCGGCTTTCATTTATTTTTAAACCGATAATGAAACTATTATATATACATAATTTCTGTCATCCTTGTTCTCACCTAAATAACCATTCTATTCTGCTTTTGCCCCCGCCTCTGGTAGGTTCCGTCTACACTAGCTGTGAATTCTATATAATTAGCCCCCTTTTTAAAAATACTTTATAGTTAGGCTTCGAAGTTTACTAATGAAATAAAGCAGGGGATTTAAGAATTTTGAGATAATACACTAGTTCAGTCAAAACGTCCTGTCAGGAACGAGGGAGGAACGAGACAGGCAGGACAGGACAGAGAATGAATAGCTTCTTGAAGCAGGTTATTTATTTAAGAATAAGAGGGAGGAAAGAAAAGAGAAGATGATTATGAAATATATCTGATAAAGAAAACTGGGAGAAGTGAAATTTATCAGCTATATTTATAGAGAAAGAAAAACAAGAAATTAAATAAAAAAATATGCAATGACAAAAGTTAGTCATAGCTGTTGAGGATAACATAATAACACACCTAGAGTAGAACTATCGGAGATGATCCAATAAGGACATGATTCCATATAATCACACTGGTGGGAATTAGTTGTTCCACAATTTACCTCTATCAATAAAACAATGCTGTGTAACGTGTATCGAGCGAAGAGTCTCATAGGACCTGAGCCATACGTATATGGAAATGAGTGCTATTGTTTGTATAATTGTTTATTTACTTCTTTATATTTATTTATTTCTTGACCTCGGTAAACTAAGTTTGGTAAATCATAAACCTGTTTACGTGGCTTTGGTCTTTCCTTCTTCCTTCTGCCTTCTTTTCCCATATTTAGTAGAACCGTCAATTAAGTGATGACTGTCAAGGTTTTGCTTGTTATGGAATCACCGGTGCTGGTCACTGTCAATACCCTCCTCTTGATACCTTTCAAATTATATATAAATACCCCTTGATAGTTTTGTAGAATTATCTCTATCTTCTTTTTAAATAAAAATTAGAGACGACTTAGTCGTAACAGTACTTGCCCTTTCCCCTTTTTCTATTTTACAACAATAGCTTATGTGGATCATGACAAAGGATTTGAAGAGCTGACAGATCAATGATGAATATTGAGTCTGAAAGCTAGTTACTCATATTGCATATTTGGGGCATAAGATGTAACGGGATCATGACACGTCCATAACAAACTGTGTTTATTGTATCACGCTTCAGACAAAACCCCTTTTGATGAAGTTACTTTGATATACATAATCTCCTAATTGATGGATTTCCCAATAACTAGGGATGGGTGTGTCTTTCTGTGCATTTGCTATAACTTGATTTTGATTATGGTCATCTTTATTTAAAACGCCATGATAGGACGACATGTCGTCCAAAAAAAACAAACAAAAAAACAAACAAAAAACAAACAAAAACAAACAAAAACAAACAAAAATTGACGTAATTTAAATAAGCAGAAAATTCAACTCCAAGTAACTAAAGGTCGGATAAAAATATATTACATGTACTAGCATATCTTCTTTTAACTTTTTTATACCTTTTTATTCATTAAAAATATTTATTTTAAAACAAACATTTCCAAATGTCTGATATGAATATTGCACTCACCAATTCTGTGGGTAAAATTGAACTTGACGTTACCGAGATCAATCAAATTCTAGCTGCGCTGTCTGATCAGTTCAAAAATCAATTTGCACGAAACATCACCGATGAAGATGTAAGTATGATACAAAAAAGTTTCGTCGAACAAAGTGGTAAAGCATTTCCTTCCCAGATTCTGATAATCTTGACTGAATCAGTTGTTTTTTTGTATATTTTCTTTAGCTCGTGATCGAATCACCGAGTCGGTAAAAAGATCCCAAGTGATTGAATATCCTGATCAGCTTGGTAAAAGAACGATTGACCCAAATTCCGAAGAGTTTAAAGGAAAGAAGGTCTCTAATAGAGTAAATGTACTGCTGCAACGTTTACACACAAAAGACTGGCAGTTATTTTTCAAGGATATTCCCGATGAGCAACAAAAGCCACCTCCAGTCCCAATTTTACAACGTGATTTATAAATCAAACGAATTCAGTTGAAGTCACTGGCACGATCGTTGAAGCATGATTTGATTGACCTGGACCAACCTGACGTGTTAAAAAACTGGAAGGATATCCCGGAAAATGATAGGGATTTTTACATGTTGCGCCTGGAAAAGCTTGCGAATGACAAGGGATTCAAAATATACCAGTGTAAGAGAATGTGGTGTGCCAAAAGCTTGTTAAGGGAGAGCTTTAAAAGTGACAACCAAACACACAGAAGAAGGGTAGCAGTAAAAAATTCTTAAGTGGTTTATTTCATCAATATCGTTAACAAGATAAAAAAAATGTAGAATCAACAAGATCCCGATAGTTCAGGCTCTATCAATGACGCTTTCGAAGATGTGGGTCGCGATGAGTCCCCCATCATAGCAGACGTGGTGTAAGTTTCTTTTATTGTTTTTCATGTATGATATATGTGTACTCATATGCGATAATTATTTTGTATACAGTTCTGCTCCACCAGAGGTACCGAATGAATCTTCACGTAAAAGAACCAGAAGAAGATAATAGTCGGGTCTGTCGACATGATTGGTCCATTCTGGTTTTTAGCTTCTTTATTATTGTGTATTCTAGCGTTCTTTTAGCTTACAATGTTTTCTCTTTTTCTTTTACTTTTATTTATCTTTTAAAATAAATAGCCTTCAAATAACGATGATAAGGGTGTATAGCCCCTTCAAAATAACAGAAAGTGTAAACAAATATGTTGGATTCGGGTATGTTTGTAATGACTGAAGCAATGACATGTAAACTGAATAATAAAGGGATTGTTTTTAGATAAAACATTTAGCCTATTTTTGTTATTTTGATCAAACTAAACTACGTCTGTATAATATAACTATTTTCCATATATAATGGTCATCATCAATAGACGGTTCTATCTTTACCAGGAAATAGCCTTTCAAAAGTCATGTTTTATTCTTATTGATATCATACTGCTTACATATAGACTATTTATTCGGTGTACCTCTCACTCAAACGACGACATTTTAGGAACACTACCGGTCAAGTAATCATCGACATTAGAACTTAAGGCCTGTAATAAAATGCAGAATTAATTACAATATTATTATTTTCTAACAATTGCTTTATAGAGTGTTAAGAGAGTCAAAGGTAAGCTAAAGTAACATACAAGCATCATAATGGTATATCTTATTGTCATGTATACAACCACAAACTTGGCTAAAGTTATATCAAACCCTCCTATGCACCCCTGAAATATAAATAAACAATCCAATAAAACGTGCTATACTGCAAATAATGACAATGTATAAGAAAATGTGAGCCTACGAAATATAAAAGAATGGGTCTAAAAGAAATCTTAAGGGTTTGTCCGTTTATAACAAATGCAAACCGTGAACGTTTGGTTATTATAGAACATCATAACTGCCACTTTTACAAGCCAGGAAAATGGAAGCTGTGAAGGATTTGTCTTCAACAAACTAAAATAGATGCCATTTTTTAAAACCAAAAAACAGCAGCTGTGAACCTGTTGGATTCATTCAACTGTTAAAGGTGCCCCATTTTTGCCAACCAAATATATGGCAGCTGTGCCTCTTTTGTTATTATCGAATATCAAATCTGCCACTTTTGCACGCTGAAAAAATTGCAGTTTTGAGAAGTAAATGGCAGATATTTGCCATTATTTCCGCCATAGTGTATATGTATATAAGTTTTATTATATGTTTAAAAATAAATGAAAGCCGAAAAAGATCTTTTAAGAAAAAATGAAAATGTATAAGGTCTTAATCACAGAATTACACATAAATAAACATGCCTTTATTTATAACAGTTGACAGGACTAGTATATGATGGTTCCGAAATCAAATTTAAAGAGACAGAATCTTAGTCATATTGAGTTTAAGACATATTTCTGACATCGGGCATAGATAGAGATGATGACATGACCTGCTATTACTTATGTTATATAACAGACTTTAAGGCCAAGGATACAAAGACAATGGATGTTAAATGTGTTTAACAAGTAGAATGCATAACGGAGATACACTATTTGGAGCAGAGACGTTCGACAGGATACAATAGTCATGTTCAACATTTACATGTGCGACAAAAGAAAGAGAACACGAAACATGTGTTACGAAGACGATGGGCTGGCTTCGTTTCAATAACAATATGAAGCATCTTCCAGGATAGTTTTCAAACTGCAACCAACAGAGTTTATAACCACAATACGATTTTACGTCTCGCCTATTGTATTAAGAATGGACACATGAACAATTATGCATACACTATAAAGCAGAAAGATAAGCCACATTTCAAGAATGGTTTGAAATACAACTCTTTATTAAGAATAAAGGAAAGGTGGTAATTTTGTCTTGGGGAAGGAATAATGTTTTTGTCATAAACACGTGCACTGTATTTATACGCGTTAATTTGCATGGGAAGAACTACTATAGGTTTAAGCTATATAATTGGACGAGGCGGTTTGTTTTATTGGTAAGATTAAGTAATCAGAATTTGATAATCCAAGATTGGCGAAATTTAATAGAGATTGAGAAGGTGAATAATGTGATAGAGCGAACGCCAGACCAAAATTAACGTGAACGATGCCTTTGAAAAGATCCTTTGAAGCTGATAGGGGATACTGACATATAATTTAGTTCAATGTTGTATACGTTTTTTGAAGAGAGAGGTATTTACCTATGTAATGTTTGTTCCCAGCAACTACAAGACCTTTTGGGGAAGACAAGATACACCGCTTTGGTTTGTTTTAGAAGGTATAAGGTCGTTCTCAGGATTTCAATCTTGTCTTGTGCCTAACAACTAGAACCATAAAGTTATTCGTTTGGCAATGATTAATATACTATGCAGAGTACTTACCAAAAGCGTGAACACCAGGTGAAGCAATCAATATGAAGGAGAGAACCGAAACGCGTTAGGCGCTTAAAATACTGATAGCAAACATAAGACTACCGAAAAAAAAAGCCTATAAACTCTCAACGGACCTAAATCTACTTGAAGAGAGCGTTTGAACTATTCAGCAAACTAAGTAGCTAATACGTAGGATGGCAGAAAAGGCATTATTTGCCTAAAGTGCTTGTAACCAGCTTCGCATTACTAAGTACTACAGACTATTAATTCTCAACGGACCTAAGTCGACTTGGAGAGAGTTTTTAAAGTATAACCGTTCGTCAGGGCATCCTTCAGCCCATACAAGTTTTACCAGATTACGCATTCCCCGATGGCAACAACAATTTAATCAATAAGCGTAGGAGAGATCCCGAAGAATGAAGAAGAATTCAGAATGAGTAATTGTTATAAATGAAAGAATGTTCGAGAGAAAAATTAAGTCAACAAATACCCCAGTTCTTATCTAGCTCTAGAAAAACCCAGTCACAGCTGAAAACCATTTTGGCTCAATTTTCCTCAAGTTTTCGTCCCATATAGACGGGTCCCCCGCTCCCCCAAGAATACGGCTGATAGTATTAAGCTTGAAAGCGCTAATAACCTGAAAAACAGTATGCTTGTTTTTTTCAAACAGCGCAATTTTTAAGGAGTGATAAAAAAATTAGGGGTGCGGGGTGAACCCTTCCACCCAAGAATACGGCTCATAGTATTAACGTTCTCCTTTATATTTTTCTAAAACTTGTCAAATAATAGTACAAATTGTGCGTCCTGTGGTCAAAAAGGTCATAGTTCTAGATCCCACCTAGATGTTGCTTTAAATACAGTAAACCTAAATACGAATGTAGTCATCTCTTCTTTTTTTTTTTTTTTTTTTTTTTTTTTTTTTTTTTTTTTATTTGAAAGTACTGACATTTTTTTAGGTGACATCTTCATTGAATAACCATGACAATGCACTAAATAACCCAACCTCAATTCCTGTGGTACAGCAAAAACAAAAATTTTTGTAAGCATTTTAACTAAGATTGATTTCAAATAGGACATGGAGGTAGACGAACACGAGTTCATTTCAACCCATGAGCCAGTCCAAGAAAGAATTGTCCGCTGTTCAACATGTCAACAACTTGGGCATTTAAGAAAAACTAGCCTTTTGTGCTGCCAGAATGGTAATCGTGCCCACCAGACTATAAATCAAGCAAAGCAAACGGAAATACTGCACAGTAGACATGGTTTGGAAGAATGACGACGATGTGTTCTGAATGCAGGGCATTCATGTGGGTCGAAGAAAGGTCAGAAAGCCGTCTTCATACTGGCAGCCTTCAACTCTGTAGTGGATTGGGAAATAAAAAGAGACACCATTTCACCCTAAACCTGGACTTATATCCAACTTATTACTCGAAAATGATCAAAGAAACTGGGAGTTTAAAAAACACATGCGGTCTAACCACAATGCCTTAAGATTTACTTCCATGGGTATCAATAGGGACGAATCTGTTCAGAACTCTCGCGGCTGGGGGTATGCTTCTCAAATTCATGGCAGTATTTATGACCGAATTGGATTGTTGCCCCCATCCAACAATGTTGCATCATCATTTGCTCAAATTTATGTCTTTGATGCTTAACATGGGATTGAAAATTGACACCATGTTGCAAGCCATGTCGACATCAACACGTTAGGACACTTAAAAATTTTAATGCATGATATCAATCCTATAGTCAGACACTTTAAGACGATAAACCAATATTTGATTGAGAATTCGGATTACGTTGCAGATGTGGCACTGGTATTCCAGGCAATAGAATTCCCAGATCCACGAAGACATAATTCACCAACGAGTTCGATTGAAGTTGGGATATTAATTTTGGGCTGTGACAATAGACCGGAAGGGGATTAGATTAGGGTTAGGGATATTATTATGAGACCCCAAAATCAGGGTCAACGTAAGAGTATCAACGCGTTACATCAGACATATGATCCAATGTCTTACGCTTTGATATTCCCAACAGACCAATCGGGATGACATAAAGAATGTGTATCTGATAATGGTTTAAAAGTCACTGCAATGTAATTTTATAGTTTCCATCTCCGGTTTAGAAACTGGGGGCATGATCTCCGTCTTTATGGAAAACGATTCCATCAGTGTAATATGGATATGTACGCTAAGATTGGCCAGTTTCGTTTAAACGTTATAAGAAATAACCTGTCAAGTCTTCGAACCGAACTTTACCTTGTTTTAAAAGATGCTGTTGCACGTGATGTCAATGATACGAGCTCTAATGGTCGAAAACTTATTCTTCGAAGCTCCTTCATTGGTGGGCCGCAACATATGTCCCAGTTGTATCAAGATGCCACTAGTATTATTAGACGTTTTGGAAAGCATGATTTTTTATTTCTTTTACCTGTAATCTTACATGGCATGCAATCCCAAGCGAGTTGTTGTATAGTCAAACTGCTACAGACAGACCTGATCTTTGCGCAAGATTTTTTCGATTAACGTATAAAAGTCTTCTTAAGAATATCAGCAAAGATTATATTCTTGGTGTAGTCGTTGAATATGTTTGTGTGATCTAGTTTCAGAAAAGAGGTTTATCTCATGCTTACAGTTTGTTTATTGTGAGACCTGAAAACAGACCTAGCTCGACCAATGATTTTGAAAATATTAATTACGCTGAGATTTCAAATGATGAGCAACATCCCTTAGCGTATCATACGGTCACAAACAACATGATGCACGGTCGATGTGGTGCATTAAATCCCAGATCCATTTGCATGAAAGATGGAAAGTGCCTAAAGGGCTACCACAAAAATTGTACTCTTACTACAACAACAGCAAATTCCGGCTATGTTATTTAAAGAAGAATACGAGATGTTATAAGCGTTGGAAAAGAAAATAAAATGGCATTGGATAATATATGGTTTGTACCTCACAACATTTATTTCTGTACGAAATACGATGCCCATATAAATTTCCAAATATACAACATCGTTTCTACTGTAAAGTATCTTTATAAGTATGTTTATAAAGGTCCGATAGAGCAAGTGTTCAAGTAAGTAGTAATGGACAGCAAAATAATATGATATGTCAGGACAAAATCGATAGGTTCACAGACGCGAGATATGTTTTTCCACCCGAAGGGATTTGGAGAATATTTGGGCTCTCATTGCATAAAGAATTTTCAGCGCATACGCGATTAAGCATTCATCATCCTGGGCGACAAATGGTGTGTTTTTTGGAGAATGCTAATCTTAGTGATGTTCGTGCAAATGCAGCCAGTAAAGACACTATTTTGACAGCTTGGTTTAGCATAAGCCGTAGCGATCCAGATACCTATCATTATTTATATCATTAGTCTCTGGAGCAGTATACTTGGAAAAAAGTGAGAAAAAGACAAATAGGTTTTCGTCAAACCACAGGCCGTATCTACCCTGTTTCACCAAAAGAGGCCGAAAACTATTATTTGCGGCTTTTATTGGGCAATATCGAACCGCCGAACAGTTTTAAGAGATAAGAACTGTAGATGGTGTAGTATACAAAACTTATCAAGCTGCTTCCCGTGCAAAACATTTACTTGCGGATGACGACCA